GACCCAAGGATGTGTTAAACACAGCAAATCAAGGAGGGTTCAACACCTTTGCCTGGACCCCACAAAGGGGAAGACTCTACCACTGTTCTCTGGCCACCTGATGTATCTGCCGAAAGACCACAGACAGAGAGCTCCCAACTCCTTGAACTTCAGCTTGGGTTACTCCCCACTGACTGTCAGTCCATCTGGCTGCCCATCCATCCATCCATCTGCTTGACCTGCTCCTTCCTGTCACCTCTATGACCTCCACAGTCCCACACCTTGCCTGGATGGCTCAACCTGACCCTGAGGGTTGTCTTGACTCAGCTACCAGTGACCAGTGCCTTCATCTGGGTTCATGAGTACCTTACCTAACCACCCTCAGTGATTCTCTTTGTATCTGGCCTCTTTGGAACCTCCAGAACTCCACTATGGCTGCCTTAACCCTTTGTAACCATTCAGTGACCTGCCTGTATATGTACATCCACAGAGATTCACTGTGTGATGTGTAATGTGGGATTTGAGAGCTAAGACTAGTAGTTAAGATAAAAATAAAAGAACCCTTGTTTGCCTTGGCCAGCTATGAAGGGAAATTGGAAATACAAATAGCAGACAACAAAACCAATGTAGCTTGTGAATTTGTTGTTATTAAATAACTTCTGACATGTGGAAAGACATAGACATGTCCATCTATATTTCTGACATAATGTTCTCATGACACTGTTGTTCTCTGTTCGGTGGGGCCTGGAACTCGGCTTCCGGACGGAGAACAGCGGTTCTGGTTCTCTCAGGAGCAGCTAGAGTGCTTTATGGAGAGGCCCTAGAGTACTAGGCTGGGGTGTGGAAAGGTTTTCCAGAGTGTTACAGTTTAGCTCTTTTAGAACGAGAACACCAGTGGCAGTGGAAACTTGGGAGTTCCAAAGCCTATACCAAAGCATTCCAGTTCTTGATTAAGCTGCTATGGTAACTACAGCAGAGGTGCAGGCAAAAGCCCATGCCTGGTGGTGGGCTTGAAGTGGAGGCCCAGGCCCCACAAGGCCCAGGCCCAGCAGGCTGGAGAGCAGGCTCGGTGAGACCCATTCAGCTGGGGGGGGGGGGGGCAAAGGGCGGGGAGGATAAATGACATAAATGACAAATCTCAGAATGGTCATGGTGGAAGGCTGATGATATCAGGTGGCCAGTCCACACATTTATTTGAAATCAGGGATTTATAACCCTTGGGCAGCAGGAGGGATTTCGAGGGTGAATGTGTTTGATTCGATGGGGTCAGGGTTCAGGGATACTTGATTTGCATGTAATGGTACAGTGCCTTATTTTCCATGCAGTAGCATGGTCCTATCACAAGAAGGAAAATACAGTACTTAATTATCCTAGGGGTGAGGGGGAAATCTCCAGGTACAGTTGAAGGTCACTGCTTAAGACTAAGATCTCCTTAGCAGGATGGTACATTTCTAGGAATTCCCAGATGGCTGTTGGAGCGGTTTTCTTCTCAGGAAAGGGTCTGGCCTGTAGTCTGCCCTGAGGAATATGTGATGCTTCTTAAAAGCCCTGGGGTCACCCAAATTGGTTGGTTTTTAGAGCTTTGCTGAGAAAAAGGAGTCCACCATCACAGACTGAGCACAAATAAATGGCTATCATCTGGAGATGTCAGACTTCAACCTAATCTGCCAAAGCCCCACAGCAGATAGTAAATGCATTGATAATTTTTAAGTTTCTAGAGTGTTCAGCACATGACAAATACTATTTAAGTGCTAGCTATTGCTCTGCTCTAGGATCATGGGACTGGCAAGGGGCAGGTAATGACTCCAGCTCAGGATAACCTAGGTAGATTAGAGTCAACAAAGATTCAGACAAAGCGTTGAGGGAAATAGAATGGAAGGCATGACGGAAGAGGCAGGCTCCGAGCTGAGCCTGGTGGGTGTAGATTGGATTTGGCATGCCATGAGTAAACACTTTATAGTGATGATAGCCTTCAGTCATGAAAATTTGGGCTCATTCAGGGGCTTGGAGGCTGCCATGACCCCTAGTGAAGGGTCTCAGTTCAATGACATGCACACAAACTATTTAACTGGTTGTTCTTTCATTCTGTAAATGTTTTCTAAGGTCCTATAGGTGCCAGACGTTAGGGGAGAAAAGGATCCAAGAATCAAACTCTGCATTACCTACTCCAAGGGAGCACAAATACACAGTGCAAGACAGAAGATGAACCCAGATCCCTGGCTTTCCTGCTTATTCTGCTTCACACCAGGGCAAGCATTAGGGCAGGAACACTGAGTTCATCTTCTACAGGGACCAAATCATACACATAATTATTAATAAGATTTAGGCGCTCCAGAACGGGGCCTTATGTAATCCTATTTCCCAGGTCCTCCTCTTCTCCCCGACCCTTGGGCTATATAAATGTTGTGTTTATTTTTTAAACCACATCCCCACATTGATGACTCATAACTTTTGTCATCTGCTCTGAAACCTACTGTTATGTATGTGTGCCCATGCCAGTCTGTCCACCTCGTTAATTCTGGGCATCGAGCCTCATTCTGGTCGTTATCCCATCCTTCCTCTTTCTACTTCCTGCCCCACCCACACCCAGTGTTACTGGAGCTACAAAGAGTCTACGTCTATCCCAACACTTGTGAGGCAAAGGCAGGAGGATTTCTGTGAGCTCCAGGCCAGCCTGGTCTACATAGTGAGTTCCAGGACAGCCAGAGCATGTAATGACACCCTGTCTCAAACAAACAAACAAACAAACAAACAAAAAACAAAACCCAACAACAAAAAGACTCAAAGCCTGAGACCTGATGGCCCTAAAAAGCTAGGCTTGGCCACCCATTCTCAATAGGCCAATTAAACAGACAAGTGAAAGTGAAAAGTAATGTTGACACATAGGAGAGAAGAACAGAGAAGTCCAGTGACCTTTCTCTACCAGCCCCTCTCCACCAAGTCCGCCTCTCAGGTCCTGACATGAGGTTTTGGTTTCAACAGAGGGCAGTCCTGGGCAAGGTATGGTCCCACACAGCATTGACCCCTCACTGTTTAGCTAATCTCTCCTGCAAGGTGGTCTGACAAAGCTCAGACTGTGTGAGATCTCTTGCAGGGAGACAAACTTCCTCATCAGCTTTTCCTTCTTCCAGCATGAGAATGATTCCTTGAGAAATATGATTTTTTGGGATCTATTCTTTTGGTGGTCTGATAGCCAAAGAGGGCTCAAGTGTCTCTATAGTGTATCTTCATTCCTGTCATGATAGTTACGCCAGGACTATTTCCCAACTACATGAGGATTCATATTCATATTCATGCTTGCAAGACTCCACCCTTAGCCCCACACATTCATATGTACTCTAACCACACACTTGTGGGGGGGGGGCTGCCTTTTTGTCTAGAAAAGCAGCCAGGAAGAGGGAGATTACTTTGACTCTGTCTCTTTCTGGTATTAAGTCTCGCCACTCAAAAAGATATTGTAGCCATGTGGAGGCCACAAGCTTTTCAAGAGCCCAGGAAAAACTGTTAACAACAGCCCTCTCACCCCTTCTGAGCAGCATATTAGCTCAACGCCACAGCACATGCTGTGGTCTAGGTCCTTTCTTGGTGTTACCAGGGAAACTGGGAATCCTTTTTTTGGATTCTTAGTCTCCTCAATAAAATAATTTAAAAAAACAAACTGAGTTGAGTTGTTCTCCTTAATAAAATAATTTTAAAACAAATTGAGTCAAATTGTATTAGAACCTGGGAGAAAAACAATCAGACAAGCAAGTTGAAAACCTGGCCTCTACCAGAGTGGGCAGGGAGAAAATGGAAAAAGCCAAGCCTTTTGCTATGGAGGAGGTGAGCAAGAAGCAGTGTGACAGAGGTGGGAGGCAACAGAGAAAGAGTGAGAAAGCCCACCTTACAGAGAAGCAGGCTTAGGCGTTAGGCCAACATCTGAACAGGAAATTTAAAAAGGTGGGGGGAGATGCTTAGTGGGCAGGGCAGAGTCTTTACGTCCCAGGTCAGAGGACTGCGCCAGAGACACGCGATGTATTTAGGAACAGAGACTAGTTATTAAAAAGAAAAGAAAAACTAAGAATCCAAAAGAAGGAACCCCAGTTTCCCAGGTAACATCAAGAAAGGACCATTCTTGGGAGTGGGCTCGTGAGCTAAGTAAAGCTTTGGGGAGTGAGCTCAGGACCCTTCTTAGGAGTTTTATATGACACCTTTCCAATTGTAGTTCTGGGTTGTTGTTTTGTTTTCCTGGCTCATGCTCTCTTGTATGAAGCTCAGGTGGGGAAGGGTTTCTGGGCCAACTGGCTTCTTTCACAAATTATCCTTTACGTTCTGGCCTCCAGTCCCCGTCCTGTTTTTCCCTCAGCGTCTAGGAATGGGTTGCCCTTGACTCATATTTCAGTTCCCCTCACAGCTCAGCCCTCCACGACCAAAGTAACCTCTACAAAGGTAACGGTGCCTTCCAAGTCGGTGGCCGTGATCCTTCAATGCAGGATCTGCATTTCTACCCGTTTATTTTAACCTGGAATAATCCTACTCAGGCCATACTCAGAGCATTCCTGGGGAATAGGTAAGGAAGGAATCTAATGCAGCTGTTTCTCTGCTCAACTGCAGCCGCTGTCTAATCCTGTTTCTGTCGTGTCTTATATATCTTGAAGTACCTGCTACGTCCCACACCAACCCACAATAAATCGCTTTGCACACTAGTATCCCTTTTTGTTTTCGAGGAACTAAACGTATTACTGAATTCTGTTCTTTCCACCCACTATAAAGCTTTAATACTAGCTTGTCAGCTGTGAACACCTAAGCTCCCAGAGCTGGATCTTCACGCACCTAGGACTTGGGCCTGAAGAACGCAGCACATACTAAAGAATGATTATTGGAACGAATGGGTGAATAAGGCCAGTCCTGCTGGATTCCAGGTCACTCGGGTAGGCAGGAACTGGATCTTCGTCGCGGAGGGGCAGCTCAGGGGCGTGGCCCCGAGTCCCCGCCCCGAGACCCGACAGAGGGCGGGGCCCACGCACGCCGCCGCCCGCGCGATGCCGCCGCCCGCGGTCCGGCTGGTGTGGCTCGGGCGGGTGCACTACCCCGAGCTGCTGGCGCGGCAGGACCGCTGGCTGGGGCGGCTACAGGCCGACCCTCGCCCCGGGACCCTGTCGGGGGCCGAGGCGGGCGCGCTCTTGGTGTGCGAGCCAGCGGGGCCGGTGTACACGGGCGGGCTCCGCGGCGGCCTGACGCCCGAGGAGACTACGCGGCTGAGGGCCTTAGGCGCCGAGGTGCGCTCCACCGGCCGCGGCGGCCTGGCCACTTTCCACGGCCCGGGCCAGCTGCTCTGCCACCCGGTGCTTGACCTGCGGCGCCTCGGCCTGCGCCTGCGCACCCACGTGGCGGCGCTGGAGGCGTGCGCCGTGCGCCTGTGCGAGCTCCGGGGCCTGCGGGGCGCCCGCGCGCGGCCGCCGCCCTACACCGGCGTCTGGCTAGGCGAGCGCAAGATCTGCGCGATCGGTGAGCAAGCCCGGGCGGAGCCCGGGCAGGATCAGCCCCTAGGAGCTCTGGGCTCGGAATGCCGCTGACCTGCCTGTCGGATATTTAATATTCCGGGGCAGAAGAGTGAGTCCTCTGCTTCCGCACTCATGAATGGAGAGACACCGGGCATCAATTGCCCGGTTACTTCCGGTGACTCACAACGCGAGGACAGGATGTCAAATTTCAAAATCTCGAGAATCTCGAAAATAAGAGTGGCTGATGTGTGACCACAGCCCCCCCTCACCCCCACCCCCACCAGTAGTCTTAGCCTCAGGACCCATCTGACCCATCCAGACTCCAAGGGATCTGGCCCAGGCCCATTTACCTTTCATCACTAGAGGCATCCTACGGCCCCAGGGGGTCGGTGGGGAGCGGGGGGGGGGGGGGGCGTCCAGTATAGCTCTTTTAAGATATTTTGTCTTGTCTTGCAGGAGTCCGATGTGGAAGACACATCACATCCCACGGCCTGGCTCTGAACTGTTGTACAGACCTCACGTGGTTTGAGCACATTGTGCCCTGTGGACTGGTTGGGGCAGGAGTCACTTCTCTGAGTGAAGAGCTTCAGAGACTCGTCACTGTGGATGAAGTCATGCCATCTTTCCTTGTGGCCTTCAGGGAGACTTTCAAGTGCGAGTTAATCTCTGAGGACAGCCCCAGCTGAAGGGCACTCACCTCACCCAGGGACAATGGTCCTTTGATAGAATGATCCTATTCTGACTTGAGTCCCCAGAACTGGATTCTGGAACTACTCTGTGGTTTACTGACCATGACCGAGGAGAGCTCTGAGCTACTGCTTCCTGTGTCTTCCCAGCTACCTCAGGGATCGATCGATAGGAAACACTATGAAAGGTCACATTCTACAGAAGGCGTCCGGTGACCATTAACACCTGTTCTCGGCTTGGAGACGCTCCACTGTTATAAACTGCCATTTCGTAATTACTTGCCACGTTTTGGTTCTGTGGAAACGAAATATCTGTGTGGCCCAGATGAAGTGACAAAGTTACCTCATTCTCAAAAGACCTGGGTCTTTCTTCAGTAAGGGAGAAGTCTTAAAAAAAAAAATAAATGACATTTTTGCCTTTCTGGGTTGAATCCCTCAAGTTTGATAATTTACCTGTTCTTGCTTGGCGTCAACAGAGATGGGCTGTAGACTACGGAAAAGACAAGGGTAGTTCCTTCTTGCATACAAATGCTATAGAGGGAAATTTTTTTTACAGGAGATCCCTGGGGCTAGGAATGTCAGCTCTCACTGTGAAACAAACTTTGTGATTCAGGACAACCGAGGAACACATTAGCTCATTTTTTTGTGGATCAGGAATTTGGAAGAAATGTACCTAGGTTGGTTGGAGCCTTACCAGAGCTTGTGTTAAAGGTGTCAGTCGTCATTAGAGGGCTTAACTGTCACTGGAGGTCAGTTTCCAGAGGGCTCACTCCGGTGTGCTTGCTTGGTTGCTTCTAGTTGTTGATGAGAAGTCTCAGCTGCTTACCTTCGGACTCTTCTGAAGGGCACAGTGATGTCAGAAGGAGGCAAGTTAGGAGCTCCAGGGCTTTTATGAGCTTGCTCTGGAAGCCACACAGTGCTTTCTGTAGTCTCATAAATGAGCCCTGTTTAAAGTGGAAGGAACACCCCATTAGCTGTAGAAGATGAAGCTTTTTGGGAGCCATCTTGGACTGGTCCCCATAACTTGTGAAAAGTAGACAGAGCTTTGACTGAGACCCCGATGCCACACTTGGCGATATGAAAGCTATTTCCTCTCTCTAGGGTTCAGTGCCGTTCACTAGGAATGCAGTAAGAGCTGCACTGTAGTCTGACATTTTCTAGGAGCCTCATTAAAAAGGGTTTTTATTTTTTGAAAAGGTGGCCAGTTTTAATACATTTGCCTCAATTCATTAATAAAATCTTTGTGAGACAATATAACAATGTCTTATAGTTATACGGTCTTCAAAAATTTGATGCATGCTTTGTACTTTTCTAGAAGCTTCATTTGACTAGTACTCTCCTCCATTTTATTTTATTTTATTTTTTGAGACAGGCTCTTATGTAGTTCAGGCTGGTCCACCTCCTGACTGTAGAGATTATAAGTATGCATGAAACCATGCCTTGCCTTGTTTACTTGATTTTTGACAATGGTCTCATGTAGCCCAGGCTGACCTAGAACTTGCTGTGTAGCCAAGGATGTCCCTGACCTCCCGATCCTCTCAAGAGAGCCTGTGCTGTCCTGGCGCAAAGGGAATAGCTGCATGGCGGCTGCTGAGTTGACCTTCAGAGCCATACTTTCACAGTATGAAGGCATCTGCCTAGGTGTGAGAGGAATTATGTGGCTTAAAGACAGGCAAAGCAATGAGAGTTAATATTGCATAGATCCAGTGCTCAATAACTGGTCTCATGATTGCTCCATTCTGTTTTCCATTGGTTCTCCCTCTCCTTCTCTCGACAGGGTTTCTCAGGCTGGAGAGGTGGCTCAGAGGTTAAGAGCACTGTCTGCTCTTCTAGAAGTCCTGAGTTCAATTCTCAGCAACCACATGGTGGCTCACAACCATCGGTTCCCTCTTCTGGCATGCAGGCAAAACACTATACATAATAAATCTTAAAAAAAAAAAAAAAAAAAAAAAAAAAAGACAGGGTTTGTCTGTATAGCTCTAACTGTCCTGGAACTCACTATGTAGGTTAGGCTGACCTTAACTCAGAGATCCATCTGGCTCTGCCTCCCAAGTTCTGGGATCAAAGCTGGTGTGCACCACCACCCAGCCTCCATTGCTTTTCTTAAGGAAACTATCCTCAGGTCCTATAACTTCCCCTCATAGATTCAGGGTTCTTAAGAGTAGAGCTGTGACAGATTTCCCTCATACCTCTGGCATACTGGACTTGGCATACAGGAGACCAGTCATGAATACTGAGTGGAAGTGAACTGTTGAAAAATTCTCCTATCGTGGTCTAGGAGGCGGCTCAGTAGATAAAGTGTTTGTTGTAGAAATGTGAGGACCTGAGTTCAGATCCCAGAACACATAAAAATGGGCACAGTGGTTGTACAGGATAGTTTTATTTTTAAAGATTTATTTATTATGTATGTAGTGTTCTGCCTGCATGCCAGAAAAGGACACCAGATCTCATTATAAATGTTTGTAAGCCACATATGTTACTGGGAATTGAACTCGGGACCTCTGGAAGAGCAGACTGTTCTCTTAACCTCTCTCCAGCCCCTGTACAGGATAGTTTTGTGTGAACTTGACACAACCGGAGTCATATGAGAGGAAGGTGCCACAATTGAGAAAATGAGTACATAAGATCAGGCTGTGGGCAAGCCTGTAGGGCATTTTCATAATTAGTGATTGATGGGGGAGGGCCCAGCCCATTGTGGGTGGTGCTGTTCCTGGGCTGGTGGTCCTGCGTTTTATAAGAAAGGCTGGGAGCAAGTCAGTAAGCAGCAGCCCTCATGGCCTCTGCATCAGCTCCTGCCTACAGGTTCCTGCCCTATTTGAGTTCCTGTCCTGCTACCTTTGATGATGAACTGCAATGTAGATGTGTAAGCTAAATAAACCCTTTCTCCCCAACTTGCTTTGGGTCATGGTGTTTCATTGCAGTAATAGAAACCCTAAGACAGAAGTGCACATTTGTAAACTCATTGTTCCTGTGGGAAACAGACAGGACACACCAGAAACCTGCAGGGCCAGCTAGCCTGGCTAATGCAGTGGAGACAGCAAAATATGAGATGAAAGATGTTGTTCTCTGACCTCCACACACATACCATGGCACATGAATGCCAACACTCAAACACATGAATGCATGCACTCACACACAGGGACACAAGTGTACACACACAGTCTCTTACGCTGCTCAGCTGTGCACCAGCTCCAGCTCTTACGTGTCCCTTTAGGTATGTGTCAGTAGCTAGGCATGACACCTTTGGCATAGACAGACCTACACAGAGACAAACAAAACCTTATTCCTTTTTCTGGATTTGAGTGTCACAAACTGGCTTTCATGGGTTATTGCTGGCCTGCAGGATTTGTGCGTGTATCTAAGTGTGTAAATGTATTAATTGCCAGCATTAAGAAATGGGCCTTCTGATTGATAGTTGGAGGCTGAGAAGTAGGCACGGCTTAACTTACATTTTCCTTAGCTCCAGGATTACCCTCCTTTCTCAACCAGCCTATGTGCTGACATCAGCTTCCTGTCTCCCAGAGGTGTTGGTAAAGCCTCGTCTAGATAATCCAGTGTTTTGAGGCTCATCAGAATATAAACCCCAAGATTATTGCACCGGTTCTGTGCTGCAGCCATGGAGAGGCTTATAAATAAGGGAGCAGCATGTCCACAGGTATATAAAACACTCAGCATCACAGCGATCAGTGAAACAAAGCAGAACTACAGTGAGAAACCAGCAGTCCATCTGCACGGCTAGTGTCAAAAGACAAAGGAAAATAACAGTCATGAGAATACAGGCTCCTTAAATGCTGTTGATGAGAGTGTAGATTAGCATAGTCATCATACTGTTCCTCATACAAAATAGAAACCAAAAAAAAAAGAAACACTTCCATCTGATTCAGCAATCTCACTAGCAATTATTACATTAGTTACTTTTCTGTTGCTGCAATAAAACACCATGACCAGAAAGCAACTAACAGGAGTTTATTTGGGCTTTTGATTCCAGAGGAGATCAGAGTACATCATGGCAGGAAGCATGACAGCAAGTAGCATGGCATGGTGGCGGGAGCAAGGAGCCGAGCGCTCCCATTTGAACCATCGACAGGAAACAGAGGTGGAATTGGAAACGGGTTATTCTGCCTGCATTGTGTGCCTGTGCACCAGAAAAGGAGCTCATTAAAAATGGTTGTGAGCCACCATGTGATTGCTGGGAATTGAAATCAGGACCTTTGGAAGAACAGCCAGGGCTCTTAACCTCCTAGCCTTTTCTCCAGCCCAGGTTAAGACTTTTAATCTCAAAGCCTGTCCCCAAAGACATACTTCCTGTCTCGAGGCCTGCCTTCTAAATCTCCCCAAATGCTTCCTCCAGTTGGGGACTAAGGGTTTTAATACTGGATCCGATGGGTGACTTTTCTGATTCAAAGTCAAAAGTGGCACTTTAGGCTCTCAAAACCTGCCACGGGGACACACTTCCCCCAACAAGGCCACAGAGAGCCACCAACTGCAAACAAAGTAGCCAAATGCCTGAGAATATAGAAAACATCCCATTCAAACCACCACAAGCTGCAAGCTTAAAAATTTTGATCTCATAGAGGTCGAGACTAAAATAAAGGTGACTAGAGGCAAGGGAAGATGGCAGGAGGGGCCGATGAGGTCAGTCTCCAGGAAGGTAGGCTTTAGTCTCTGCTATTGCATGGTGGCATGATTAGAATATATGTGTTTCTTTTCTGTTCTTTCTTTTTTTTTTTTTTTTAAGATTTATTTATTTTATCTGCATATACACCTGCATGCCAGAAGAGGACATCAGATCACATTATAGATGGTTGTGAGCCACCATGTGGTTGCTGGGAATTGAACTCAGGACCTTTGGAAGAGCAGACAGTGCTCTTAATTGATGATTAATTAATTGCTCATTAATTAAGTGTTCTTAATCCAGCCCAAGTGTGTGTTTCAAATGGCTAGGAAAGAGGATTTTGGATATTCTCAGTATAGAGAAATAATATTAAAGGTAATTAATGTTTCACCCTGATCTGATCAGTATATACAGAGTATATATACATTAAAATATTTTATAGGATACATTGTAAACTGTACTTCATAAACAGGTATACTTATTTTAGTCAGATACATTACATTATTTTAGTCAAATACAAAAGCTTATTTTACATACATACATACACACACACACACACACACACACACACACACACACCTTACACATTTAGTCCCAGCACTAGGGAGGCAGAGGCAGGCAGCTTTGTGAGTCGAAGGTCTAGGTGATTTACATACTAAGATCTTGTCTAAGTAAATAAACAAATAAAGAACTATTTTTTTTAATAAGAGGGCCATGATTTACTTATCCTTGGTCCCTAGCTCAGAGCCTGGTACAGAATAAATTGCAGGAAGTGTGTGATAGTTATTAATGATCACCCGTATTTTTGGCTTCATGCTCTCTGGACACTGGATAGGAATTTACTTCCTGACACCCTTCCAGTAGGGCAGAGCCAGGTAATTTGTTCTGGTAAATGAGTTATGAATAGGGGTGGCATCTCATTTTTCAGCTGAGCACTCAAATAGTACAGGGTGTAGAAAGAGACAATGCTTCTTCATTTGCCCAGCAGCCTGTCAAGACAGGACTATTTTAGGAATCGAAAACATAAAGGCGGGATGGGGCCAGAGAGACGGTTCAGCAGTTAAGAGCACCCGTTGCTCTTGTGGAGAACCTGGGTTCAGTTCCCAGTACCTACGTGGTAGGTCACAATCATCATTAACTCCAGCTTAGGGGACCCAACACCCTCTTCTGAGCTCCTTGGGCACGAACATAAACAAGCATGCAGGCAGGCAAAGCACTCATGCCCACAAAGTAAAATAAGCAGTTCTTTTAAAAATGTCTCTGAGGGACAAGTGATTTCAGTGAGTTGGTCAGGGGTGGAGGGCTGGTCTCTGAAGGGACTGGGGTGGTGTCGTGAAGGAGAGGAGCCTCCAACAACAGGTGGGCCGAGCCAGGGAGGAGAACACCCTCCCTGAGTTTAAACCAGAGTGTAGCAGAGGCTGGACCTGTGGCATCAGGCCGCTGGGGCAGATGCCTGACTCCTTCCTGCCGAGACAGGTCTCGGTTTCCTCCGGTTTCTCACTGCGGACCTTCCTCCAGGAAGGAAGCTGAGCAAGAGGAAGATCTCTAGCACCCTGGCTTCCCCCTGGATAAAAGCCCCCTCTTGTTTGTTCAGAAGCTTTTCCTCACACGTAAACAGATTGTGCAGGCTCTGGTGGGCCAGTGCTGAGAGCTACGGACGTGACTGGCTGCAGTCAGAGATTCGGGATCTTGTTCCTTCAGTGAGGATGGCCAGGAAACCAGATGAACCAGCCCTGGGAACATGACCAGGTGCATCTTGGTCCATACAAAAAGCCTCTCCTAAATAAAGCTTCTGAACTGAAAGCTGTTCCACATTGTTATATGGTCTTTATAATTATATATATATATATATATTGTTGCTTTTTTTGCTGTTTTTTTTTTTTTTAAAGATTTCAATATGTAGCCCAGGCTGGTCTTAAAGTCAATGCAATTCTCCTGTCCTAGTCCCCTAAGCATTGGGATCATGAAAGTGTACAACCACACTTGGCATAAGAATTATATTTTTGAGTGCTTTAATTTTGTTTTAGTAAAAACTTTTGTTATTTTTTGTTTGTCCAAGTTTGCTCTGCAGCTGCAGCTGAACTTGGCCTCCTGATTCTCCTGCCTTCACTTCCCAAGTGCTCGGATTATAGGAGTCCACCACCAGGCACGACCTTCATCTGCATTTTAATAATGCGTGTATACAGAATAAGAATTTTAGGGGTACGGCATGTCGAGTGTAGGTCTTGTTCCAGGCTCTTATCCCTTTAGACACGGCTCCCTCCCTGGAAGCTTACAGGGAATGTTTCCTGTATGTTTTATATATTTTAGAGATACTTGTGTGTAGGTGTATGTATATGTGCGTGTATGTGTAAATGAACACATCTATGTGTTTGTGTACAGTCTTTCTCACATAGTAGCAGGCTGTGTCTAGTCCTCTGCTTTAGCTGTTGCTTCAGATCAGTACATAAAGAGCATTTCGTTCTTTTAAAGAAGCATTTGGCATTCCATTGAATGATTTGTTGTACCATTGTTTATTTAGCTAGTTCCTAAAGGAGACATTAAGGTCATTACTAATCTTTTGCTTTTGAAAGCAAGACTGTGGGGGCTGGAGGGATGGCTCAGAGTTTAAAAGCACTGGCTGCTCTTCCAGAGGTCCTGAGTTCAATTCCCAGCAACCACATGGTGGCTTATAACCATCTATAATGAGATCTGGTGCCCTCCTCTGGCATGCAGGCAGAATAGTGTATAAATAAATATTAAAAAAAAAAAAACAAGGGGAGGAGAAAGGGGTTTATGGGGGGGATACAAAGTGAATAAAGTGTAATTAATAAAAGTTAAAAAAAAAAAAAACCAAACCAAGACTGTGTGGCTGGGGTATTGCTCAGTTGGTAGCATGCTTGCCTGGCATGCATGCAGTTCCATGTTCTCTACCCATCACTGCAGAAAACCAAGTTTGGTGGGGTGTGCTTATAATCCTGACCTTTAAGAGGTGAAGGCAGGAGGATCAGAAATTCAAGATCATCCCCCAATGCACACCAGGTTCAAGGCTATCCTGGGTTAAATGAAAACCTGTCTCTAAAGAACAAAAAAACAACACTAGATTAGTGGTTCTCAACCTTCCTAATGCTGTGACCCCTTAATACAGTTTCCTCATGTTGTGGTGGCCCTCACCCATAAGGTTTTGTCTTTTGTTGCTACTTCTTAACTGTAATTTTGCTACTGGTATGAATCATAAGGAAAATATCTGATATACAGGATAACTGATATGTGACCGCCGGTGAAAGGATCATGTGA